GACTCCTGCACGCCCGCCCCCCACTGGGGACTGAGCCCACAACCCAGGCATGTGCCCCTGACCGGAATAGAATCTGGGACCCCTCAGTCCACAGGCCAACGCTCTAACCATTGAGCAAACCGGCCAGGGTGAGGCAGTGGTTCTTAAACTAGCATGCATCAGAATCACCTAGAAGGCTCGTTAAACTACTGAGGGGATCTAGAATTTTTGATTGAGAAGATCTGGGGTAGAGCCCAACAATTTGCATTTCTAACAAGTGCCAGGTACTGACAGCAGCTGCTGTTTCGAACTAACGTATACACACACAGCAGATAATTCTCTACTTAATATGTAATTAAAAACATTGGATAAGCTATATTTGTTGAATTAATGAATGCAAGTCTAGAAATCTGCAGGATAGCACTTTGAAAAGCTACTTTAAGATAGTTTTTTTTTTTTAATATATTTTATTGATTTTTTACAGAGAGGAAGGGAGAGAGATAGAGAGTTAGAAACATCGATGAGAGAGAAACATCGATCAGCTGCCTCCTGCACATCTCCTACCAGGGATGTGCCCGCAACCCAGGTACATGCCCTCGACCGGAATTGAACCTGGGACCTTTCAGTCCGCAGGCCGACGCTCTATCCACTGAGCCAAACCGGTTTCGGCTAAGATAGTTTTTTAAGGGAAAGGTCATAACTGCTCAAGCAACTGAATTAAGCTCAGGAAAATTAATTACTGTACCTATATAGGTTTCTTTGTTTTCACTTCTCACCCTCAAGCTGAAAAGTGGCTAATTCCTTTGTGAGGTATCAAATTCTGAACAATTGCCCAACTGTGTGGCTCAGTGGTTGAGCGTCAACCCAGGAACCAAGAAGTCACCAGTTCTGGTCAGGCATATGCCCGGGTTTCAGGCTCCATCCCCAGTAGGGTGTGCAGAAGGCAGCCAATCGATGATTCTCATCATTGATGTTTCTCTCCCTCTCCCTCCCTCTCTGAAATCAATAAAAGTATTTTTAAAAATTCTGAACAACCGAATACGGAGTGTCTATGTGTGGTCAGCGTGGCCTCTACTGTCAATTGGGTGAAGCTGAGTAGGATGCTCAGATATAATGTGAAGGTTAAGTGCTTCCTGTGAGGAGGGGCCTATCACCTGGCTTGGGCAGGAACATAGAGTAGGTTGCTAAGCTGAGAGGGGGGAAAATTTGAGATGGTCAGCAGGGGAAGAAGTAAATAGACAACAAAGCCTTTTTGACAATGAGATCTCAAGAAAATGACAAGGCCAGGATTAGGCAGATATCAGAAGCAATAAGGGAGCATCTCTTGAAAATATGTGAGCAAAGGCTATCATTTCAATTCCAGATTCTCTGTGTCTCTGGCCAGAGGTTAGTCATCTGCCTGAATCTTAAAGGACTGACTAATCTTCAAGGCAGTGACTTCATCCTCTGAGGCCTTAACCAGAGAGCCTGTGTTTTCTCCGTGAGGCAGGAGGGGGGTTTCCATGACTAGTTAGGCCCTCATGGAGAAATTGCTTTGAATGGGCAAGGCAGTGGTGAGAGAAACTAAACTGGGCTAAGTTAGATACACTTCCAAACTGTTGCTCCATTGCGTTCCAGAACTAGAGGATGTTGGTAGTCAATGGGACTGGTGAGGTGTGGAGTCATCCTGTGTTGCCCCCCCAGGCCCTACCCAGGGGTGGACGGTAATGCAGATGACTGTGTGCAGGCTGACTTCACTGTCCAAAGGTCTCATCTAGTGGGTGGAGAGCGTAATCCTCGAGGCTGTGTCAGTCTTACTGAAATCAGGCAGATTATCATCTTAATTGCAGGGGATCATCTTAATTGCAGGGGAGTTGATTGGTTTGAACTAGAACTCAGCCAGTGGTAGGGCCATGCAGACAGAGGCCAGCCCCCCAAAAAGAGGATTTTGCAGACTGTCAGGACCCCAACCACAGTGGCAGGAGTCCGAAGCAGACCCCAAATTCAGCAAACATCTTGGGCAGGAGTAAAGATAGAGGCTCATCTATACGATTTTGATCGAAGACAAGAGCCCTGGGAAAGTGGTGGCATTTGGGTTTATACCACATTTAGGACAATGAAAGTAATACATTCTAGCCATTGGTGTGATGAACACCCTAAAATACCAGGCTGCTTGGATTGTTAGCTCAAAAACCTGGTGTGGCTAAATCTGCAGTTTATTTTTTAAAATAATATTGTATTGATTTTTTACAGAGAGGAAGGGAGAGGGGGAGAGAGTTAGAAACATAGATGAGAAACATCGTTCAGCTGCCTCCTGCACGCCCCCTACTGGGGATGTGCCCGCAACCAAGGTACATGCCCTTGGCCGGAATCGAACCTGGGACCTTTCAGTCCACAGGCTGACGCTCTATCCACTGAGCCAACCCAGTTAGGGCTAAATCTGCAGTTTTAGAAAGAACCTGCTGCTTACACCATGCGGGTTGAAAGGGGGGGTTCCCACGGGGGTTTTTAAGGTGGTTTTAGAGATTTATTAATCCAAATTTCTAGGCATTCTATATATTTAATACTAGAGCCCCGGTGCACAAAAATTTGTGCCTCGGGGGGGGGGGGGGTGGTCCCTCAGCCCGGCCTGTGCCCTTTCGCAGTCTGGAACCCCTTGGGGGATGACCACCTGCTGGCTTAGGCCTGCTCCCCTGGGAATTGGGCCTAAGATGGCAATCAGACATCCCTCTGGCAGCCCGGCAGCCCTTGGGGGATGTCCACTTGCCAGTGGGGAGCAGATCTAAGCTGCAGTCAGACATCCTTAGCACTGCTGAGGAGGCAGGAGAGGCTCCCACCACCACCACTGTATTGGCAGCCATCAGCCTGGCTTGTGGCTGAACAGAGCTACCCCCCTGTGAGAGCGCACTGACCACCAGAGGGCAGCTCCTGCATTGAGCGTCTGCCCCCTGGTGGTCAGTGTGTGTCATAGTGACCAGTCATTCCCAGTCTTTCTGCTGTTAGGGTCAGTTTGCATATTACCCTTTTACTATATTGGATAGAGGCCTGGTGCACGGGTGGGGACCGGCTGGTTTGCCTTGAAGGGTGTCCCGGATCAGGGTGGGGTCCCACTGGGGTGCCTGGCCAGCCTGGGTGAGGGGATGGTGGCTGTTTGCAGCTGGTCAACACTCCCTTCAGGGTGGGGGTCCCCACTGGGGTGCCTGGCCAGTCTGAGTGAGGGGCTGAGGGCCATTTTCAGGCTGGCCGGGACTGAAGCTCCCAGCCTCTCCTTTTTTTCTTTTTTTTTTTATTCTGGGATTTATTTACCTTCTATAATTGAAACATTGTTGCCGTCACTGGCGCTCCCAGCTCTGAGGCCGCGGCCCCCTGAAAGCAGGTATCTGGGGTTTGTTTAGCTTCTATAATTGAAACATTGTTGCTTTCGGAACTCAGAGCTGGGCCGTGGCAGGCAGGGAACCTTGGCTTCCTCCATCACTGGAGCAAGCAAGCCTCCTGCTCTCTTCAGCTGCATGACTGCCGGCTGCCATCTTTGTTGGCAGTTAATTTGCATATTGCCCTGATTAGCCAATGGGAAGCGTAGCGGAGGTACGGCTAATTACCCTTTTGTCTTTTATTAGATAGGAGGATGTTTTGTTAGAGCCAGCCTAATTTCAAATTGCATGAAATCAAATTCAAAGGAAATCAAGATTTGGAATAAAGTAAGAACTCTGCCATTCAAATGCTAAGCCTTGAGCTCTGCTGTTAATTTTCCTGTTTTAGAACCTGGTCTAGTTTAGGGTTTGGTTGCCTGGCCCGCTCCCAGCAGTCTGCAGATAAAGGTCACTTTAGGAAACTGACACCCAGAGGTGCAAACTGTGGTCATCCACAAGCTTTCCCGGGCATTCAGCATTGCTCCAGAGGGAAGGCATTGACCAGAGCCAGTGGTTCTCAACCTGTGGGTCGCAACCCCTTTGGCGGTTGAATGACCCTTTCACAGGGGTCGCCTAAGACCATCCTTCATATCAGGTATTTTTACATTACAATTCATAACAGTAGCAACGTTACAGTTACGAAGTAGCAACAAAAATAATTTCATGGTTGGGTCACAACATGAGGAACTGTATTTAAAGGGCCAGAAGGTTAAGAACCACTGGACCAGACCCTCAAACCTCAGAGGGAGAGCAGGGGACCGTGGGGGTTAGGGGGAGAGATCAACCAAAGGACTTGTATGCATGCATATAAGCATAACCAGTGGACACAGACAGTAGGGGGGTGAGAGCACGAGCGGGGACACATATGTAATACCTTAATCAAGAAAGAAAAGAAAAATTTTAAAGGGGAAAAAAGATCATTTAGGTGAGACTAAAGGAACAACTTTAAAGAACTGCTCTTCTCATTGGGACTGCTTCCAACTGCAATTATAAGCCCGTGCTTTTCTTTTTCTTTACCCCTTCCTCCCCCTTTCCCTCAACGCGCCCCACCCCCCCGCAACCCCGCCCCATCATCGGATAAAACTTGAATCAATTCCAGGAGATGGATTTTGCTGCCTGTGTAAAATGTTCTGCTTCTAATCAAATGGACATTGCAGGAGTATATAAAAATAGTTCTGTTCTCCACACAAATGAATTCATTTAAGCAGTGCACAGTTTCGATTTCTTACTACCTTTTGGAGAGTAGAGCGTTAGGGAATCTAAAGGTATCATCATTGCATGAAAACTGCTGAATAAGAAATACCTCAGTGGTAAACAACTGGCTGAACCGCCTGGGTACATCTGAGATAAGGGAGCACATTCTTTATTGTGCCTGAAACCTGTTTCCTATACAAGGATGGCCCATGCCTTGCTTACAGAGGAACAATAATGTAACCTTGAGCACACAGCACAGCTCTGCTGCTTGCTCTTCATTTGCAGCTGTATCCTTAGACAAGGCTGCTTCTTGGGGGCTCCAACAAAAGGATTAAAAGATTCTGATAGCTGGAAAAAAAACAAAAAAAGAGTCCTTGTCTTTTCTGTGGGAGATCCTACACTGTGGAGAATCTGTATTAATTAAGAAATTTTGGGGGCGGCGCGGGCTCCCGCCTCAGTGTCCGGCACGCGGTGCGCACTCTCTGCGTTGGGAGTCGTATCCTAGAGGGGGACGACATGCCAACTGCCAAGCAACTAGCTGACATTGGCTACAAGACTTTCTCCACCTCCATGATGCTCCTTACTGTGTATGGGGGCTACCTCTGCAGTGTTCGAGCCTACCACTTTTTCCAGCGGCGCAGCTCCCGGCGCCAGGCTGCAGAAGAACAGAAGACCTCAGGAGTCCTGTAGAACTGGGGGGCTCTTTTCCTTGACCAGAGAGGCCTGAGGCATGCTGTGGAAAGAGCTCACCTTCAATCACCCAAATCAAGAGAACCAGGGCCTTAATGGTTTTCAAGTCCTGCTGGGGATAAGTGCCCATGTTTTCTCTGGAACTGCCAGTTTAAGGAGGCTGTCAAATTGTAGCAGGAATTGGGACAGAGGGAGGCACATGCACTGGCATTAAATATTTTGTCATGTGAAAAAAAAAAAAAAAAAAAAAGAAATTTTGTTCATGTAAAGTGCATGAACCTGTCAGAACTTCCTTCTAATAACAAAAATCATTGTGGACATTGCTTGGGTAACTAATTTTTGGCTTATCGAATTTTTCCCTTCATATTTTCTAAGTCGATATTTTAAAACACCTATTCTTTACTAACATATTTAAACTTTAAAAATATTGTGAAGTCTAGGTTAGATATCTCAGTCACCTTTTAAATATTTGGCTCTTGGACACCCTGGCCAGGTAGTTCAGTTGGTTAAGGCATCATCCAGATACACCAAGGTTTCGGGTTCAATTCCTGGTCAGGGCACATGCAAGAGTCACCCAATGAATGCATAAATAAGTGGAACAACAAATCCATTTTTTTTCTCTTTCTCCCCCTTTCTCTCAAATAAATAAATATTAATACATATTTGGACCTTGGTGTTTACAGTGTCTTGAGAGCAGGTGGCTTTCCAATTCACCAGTTTTAGAACCCACGTGCCTGGATCTCTTGCACCATCACAATTGTGATGTGGTTAAGGGGACACCTCTCTGAGGTTTGTCCTAGGTTCTCAGTATGGGGGTTAATGTAGCCTCAGAATGGAACTTTTCCCAAAGATTTTTTAAAATGAGCATTTACTTGTATTTTCATAGCCTTTGCCCTAAAAATTCTCTGAGCTGCAAAGTCAGGTGCAGATTTCACCTTTGATTACATGCACATGTGGTCCAACAACAAATTATATTGTACTGCTGCTCTTAGCAGTTCAGGTAAGTGAAATTCAGAAAGCGCCGGGAACCAATTTAAATGTGATCTCCAGGAAGCTATTAAGTAGAAGTTATGACAACACTGACTGTAGAATTCAAAACTTTGAAAACTTTTTCACATCTAAAGAGACAAAATATGAGGGATTTGCATGCTCTGGTTCATGATCATTCTAAAATTTCTAATTCCAGCTAACCCAAAGACAAATTAGTTGGGATTAGTTTGCTATGACAAATTCTTTGCATATCAGAATCAAGGGTCATATCAGATTTTGGAAAATTGATAGAGCACTTAATAGTCTTTCCTTCAGCAAAAAAAAAAGAAAGAAAAAGAAAAATTTGGTCATGTTATTTTCCCCATTCTAAAGGTGAGGAAATGCAGCCAAAAAAATAAAAAGTTACTCCATCGTGGTGCCCAAATAAATGGTAAAGTTTCAATGTTTCACATCCTTGGGCCTCAATAAAACCTCAGAGCCACTTCCTAGTTGAACCTGTCTTTTTATAAGAACGCATTTCTGAATGCAGCTCACTGTTTATCTCAAGCCTTTTTATCTTCCTTCAGGCAGGGAAAGAGCAGAATCTCCTCCTCATATAGTATAAAGAATAAATATTTAATGGCCATTCATTTTCTTTCTTAGCTAGATGGACCTGTTGAAAGCCAGTTCCTGGCCACACAAAGACCGCTTGCCATTTCTGACTACAACATAAATATTTAATTAAAACCTACTTTAACCCATTCTTCCTTAAGGCATAAAGTACACTTGTAACCGTGGGCTACACTTATGCCATTTTCCAAATCCATCTGTTATTTGTCCCAGAACTTTTGCACTCAGGAGGCATTCACCTGGCTGTGAAATGTTTCCAGGTGAATATTTAACCTTTGTGCTACTGTTTTCAGAAGAGAACCAACCAACCACCCACCACCACGAGAACTGGAATTTGAAATAAAATGAGAATTCTGTTCTGTTCTAAAGCTAATCCTTTCGGCCACCATTGTTTCTGTAATGTCTTCGTCCTGTTGACTCTTCGTTGTGTGGGGTCTCTGGCAGTCTGCAGGTCACCTCGGAAAACGGAAGCTTGCCCTGGTCAGCGTGGCTCAGTTGGAGTGTTTTCCACCAGGAAAAGGTGGCAGGTTCCAATGGACGCAAGACACTTGGTGGGGGAGGGAGGGAGGCGGGGCGGGGGGGAGGCCAGGGGAAGGTCAATGGAGAAAAAAAGGAGACATATGTACTACTATTTGAAATATTTTAAACAATAAAATAACATTAAAAAAAAAAAAAAAGGTGGCAGAGATTCAATTCCCAGACAGGGCACATAGGTTTTGGATTTAACCCCTGGTCAGGACACATATGGGAGGCAACTGATCAATGTTTCTCTCTCTCTCAAATCAATATAAAAGAAAAAATTTAGCCCAAATGGTGTTGCTCAGTGGTTGAGCATTGACCTATGAACCAGAAGGTAATGGTTTGATTCCCAGTCAGGTCACATGCCCAGGTTGCAAGGGAGCCAGTCAGTGATTCTCTCTCATCATTGATGTTTCTATCTCTCCCTCTCCCTTCCTCTCTGAAATCGATAAAAATATATTTTTTAAATTTAAAAACAAAAAAGCCCAGCCAATGTGGCTCAGTGGTTGAGTATCAACCCATAAACCAAATGGTTCATCTCTAAAATAAATAAAACCATATTTTTAAATAGTATTAAAAAAAACCTGAAGGGAGGGTAAAAAAGCTGCAATGCACACGCCTCTTGCTCTCCTTGGCATTCACATTGCTTCAGCAGTACCCTTGCTTTAAATTATTAAGGATTTGTCTTAAATATTCTTTAACAAATAGCAGACCAATTCTTATTTCCTGAGCCAGCCTTCTTCTGCTTGAATAGCTCAAAAGGTTTTGAAGTAAGTCATCATTTGATTCCATGGATTATGAAGTCACACGAACACTTCTGTTATGATTATTGAGAAAATGGGTAGTTATTCTGTTGATTATATACAGATACAGGAACCATGTCAGGCACCAAGGCATGTGCCCTGGGACAACTGGAAAAGGTAAAAGGTTGAAATGTCATGGTGTAAGTATAAGAAATAGGGACCTCCTAGAGATGGTGTATGGGGCTTACTCAGTGCAAATAGGAAAGGACTGATTGACCTGGCATATGAGAACAGGCTGTGTAACTTTTGATTTTTGTTTTGTTTTGTTAATCCTCAACTGAGGGTATTTTTCCCACTGCTTTTCAGAGAGAGTGGAAGAAGGAAGGAGGAGAGAAACAGAGGAGAGAGAGAGACATTGATGTGAGACAGACACTGGCTGCCTCCGCACTCTCCCTGACGAGGGGCCAGGAGTGAACCTTTGGCCCAGGTGCCCTTGACCAGGAATGGACACTTCAGTGCGCAGGCTGATGCTCCACACACTGAGCGGCACCGGCCAGGGCCTGTTTCATTACTTACAAAGTTATAAGAACCCAATTTTCAGCTTTATTCCACACTAAGAAAGAGAAAGCTAATTCAGGCCAGCTGTGATTTAATGGCACTTGCACGAATAGTAAAACCAGGGGTCCTCAAACTTTTAATTTTTTATTTATTTTTTAAAAATATATTTTATTGATTTTTTTTTACAGAGAGGAAGAGAGAGGGATAGAGAGTTAGAAACATCAGTCAGCTGCCTCCTGCACACCCCCCACTGGGGATGTGCCCGCAACCAAGGTACATGCCCTTGACCGGAATCGAACCTGGGACCCTTGAGTCCGCAGGCTGACGCTCTATCCACTGAGCCAAACCGGTTAGGGCCTCAAACTTTTTAAACAGGGGGCCAGTTCACTGTCCCTCAGACCGTTGGAGGGCCGGACTATAGTTTATAAAAAAAAAAAACTATGAACAAATTCCTATGCACACTGCACATATCTTATTTTGAAGTAAAAAAACAAAACGGGAACAAATACAATATTTGTATTTGCATGTGGCCCTTGGGCCGTAGTTTGAGGACCCCTGAGTAAAACTCTTTATTAAACTTCTTAAAATAACAGTTGAAAGTCTACGCTGCAGGGTCAGGGCCACTCCAGTCTTGCACTGTTCCTAGCAGTAACTACTTCAATGCCATCTTCCCAGCTCACAATGCTTCCCACCTGTAAAGGGACTGTGCATTATTAACTTTTAACTTTAATTACTTTGAGCAAATGTATATTCTTTCAGGTCACGACAACGGTTCTCGTACCCTTACTACATACCTTCAAAACAACACTCTCAAATGAAAATGGTTTTACATACAAATTTTAATTGAGAGAATGATGGAGGGACTGTAAATCAGAACAGATAAAGCTTGGGGTAAGGAAACATGCTAGAACTCTGGAATTTTGCATAAACAAGGTATAGTTTACAAAACTATTGTAAGAAATTACACTTTGTAAAAATCTGTGTTATCCAGTATAATGGATAATCTTTTTTCAGTATTATTTTACCCCTCTTCTATCCCAAGTCTTACCCTAAATCATGCTTCACTTAGTCACCTTTTAAAGTGACATGATAGCCCTAACTGGTTTGGCTCAGAGTGTTGGCCCTCGGCCTGAAGGGTCCCGGCTTCGATTCCAGTTAAAGGCATGTACCTTAGTTGCGGGATCGATCCCCAATAGGGGGCGTGCAGGAGGCAGCTGATGAATGTTTCTCTTTCATCAATGTTTTTTAATTCTCTAACCCTCTCCCTTCCTCTCTGTAAAAATCAGTAAAAAATATATTTTTTAAAAAGTTACATGATAAAGTAAAAAATATATTTTTAAAAAAGTTACATGATACAGCTATTCCTCATCCTCCCAATTTATGGGGAGAACCCTGAGGGGATGAACCAGACTGTGGGGGTCTACCTTGGATCACGCAGACACTTAGGGGACTGTTGGCCTGCCAAACCTTGGAACACTCGCTGAAGGCCCCACCCAGCTTCATAAAGAAGGGAAAACATTTGGATTGCTTTTCTTAGTTCTCATGATAGATACCAAATAAAAACAAGATGTCTCGGATTCTCTTCATAATGAACTGGAATTCAGGGAAATTTACTTAAAATTCTTCTTTAAGAGCCTGTACTATTTTTGGAAAAACAGGTTATGATAGATGCAGTTTAAGAATGATGCAGCTGTGATGAACTGATCAGAAACTGATGTGTAGCTGCTTCGGCAATAACGTCAGCCATCTCTCTCTGTTCTTGCTCAGTGCCCGGCATGGTTTCTGGCATAAACTTCTTTGGGGGCATCTACATTGCTGTTAGGTGACTTGA